GATTCTGCACTGTTTTCATTTCTTTACTTTAGCATGGATGCATTTGATCTTTTAGCTGCTGGGTTATTTATTTTATTTATGTTTAATGAGTGTGAGTGTAAGGATAATTTAAATACCAACTGTAATCTGGATAAAGCCAACTTCTGTTGCCTTTTTAAGCCAATATTTATGTTTGTGAATGTTTAAATTAACTGCTTGTCTGCAACATCAATGCAAACCATCAGTTGTAATTAAAAATATTATTTTTTAAACTATTACTTATTTTATTTTATTGATCCTGCCATTTACCTGGAGTGGAATCATCCACAGAGGTTTGCTTTAAAATAAAATTAGATTGGAATTAAGTTTTTTAAGATATTTGTTTTGTCCTGTTGTTAAAAAAAAATTAACATTTAAAGATATTGGTAGTTAAGCAGCATGCAGAAAAAAATGGTTATGAAGACAGAGGCCTAGCACTTGGCAAGCACTTTCCTAAAGGTATACTGAAGGATTTTGGCAAATTTCTGACCCGCCCTCTCCACTTAAAAAAAAAACTATATATATGCCCATCCATGGACATAATCTTTTTTTTTGGGGGGGGGCGCATGTCCCTTGCACTTTTTCAAACAGGTTTTACTGTCCAAAAACAGTGTTAAGCTACAGTACACAACATGCGTCGAATACTAGGACCAGTACTTAGATTTGGCAAAATAAATTGGGGGTGGCCTACCATGATTATTAAGCTGATCCCAGTGTGAAATTTGTCCCCAAACCTTCGTCTCTAACTATGTAGGGGCAAAGATAGCCATGCCAGTCGAGGGACTGACTGCAGTTATACTGTAAGGTGCCTTGGTCAAGTTCAATGACTGCTGTAACTGACACGTAACAACCATACCATGCATTTTGTTTAATACTCTATATTAATTAGGCTATGTATGCTTTAGAAAAAAAAAAATTCCACCATTCTCTTTTTTTTTTCCTGAATTTAGACCGCCCACCAGCTCATCTGTTTTTTCTTGTGCACTGAAAAAATAATGCAACCATTTTTGGCATTTACTTAATCATATTAGTTACTTTAACACAATTGTGTTATGTCCTGCAATGCTAACATGAAACAATTGTGTTAAAGTAACTAAATATGATTAAGGGTCTGTGGTTGGACGATCAAACACCCTGAAGTTAGTTAGATTAAAAAATACTTGATTTAAAATTTAGCTACGGTAAATAAATTTAAGATTTGAAAATAAATATAACAATTTATAGATGTAGAAATGGATGTATTATATAAATATAGCTCAAGTATTTAAATGTGGATTTAACTTTTATATTTAGCCTTTGTTGCTAAATGTATGAGCAGAGGGCTGCCACTTTTCAGCGCCCAGGGAGTGGTGTGTGTTTAAGGGTTTTGCTCAGAAACCCAGAGTGGCTGTGAGGATTCAACCGGGTACTTGCAACCTTCTTAGAGCCCAAGAACACTGTTGTAACCCACTAAGCCAACTCTCCCCAAATCACCCTCTCCTGACAGAGATATCTGCAGATTTTGTAACTCAGCTGTAAAGTAGAAAATACTCAGGGTTAGTCCAAACAACCCTGCTACTGAGCATGGTTGGTTTTACTGAATACTTTTTTCTGAATTTTATTCAGCCTAATGACTTTTTAGCTTTATATAAAAAGAAAAGGCCAGGATATGCAGAAATGTACCCAGAAACATTAATTTGTAAAATAGGGCCCTGCTGAATTGCTTGTGCCAAACCTCTACCAAAATGAGGACATTGTCAGATGTATCTTACTTTACTAGAGGAAGAATTGAACTGCTGGAAAACATTTAATCAGAAAAGAGGTGAGAGGCACAGGCTTGAGGTCAGCTAGATGTTTTCCACAGTGAATAATCCAGGGAGCCATGTCATCTATCATTGTTCACCTGTGTTTTAAAAAGAACTAAGTCATTGATCCATCTATCTAGAGATCCTTAAGATGCTGATTTCATTTTCCAATAGAACTTGTGTCAATAATAGCAGGAGAGAGCCCCAACAATGGAGAACAGCTGAGGGTTGCTATTAAAACAACATGGCCTCACTCCTCAGCAGCAACATAACCTCCATGCAACACTGCATTACTGCAGGAAGGAAAGCCCTGACCAACGATTGAGAGCTGACATTATACAGCAGATGGATATGTTTTTCTGTTTAACAAATCCTTTATTTTTAATGTTCTGATGTTTTTTTTTCTTCCAGGAGTTTAGCTGTAATAATCAAAATTAATATAAACAAATACTGTATGGAGCCTTTATGGGATGAGTTTTACCTTTTGAATCAAATCACTACTTGTTGATGTTCTAATTTATTGAGATGCACATCTACTTAAAAATAAACTAAAAACATATCCTTTCTGTTAGTCACATAAAATATGTAGACTAGTTCATCTGCATTTTTTCATTTCTCCTTGGTGGCTGAGATGAAGCCTGAATCGCAGGTTTTGGCTGCTCTGAGTCACGCCAGGGTTCCACTCCAGTTAATGGGGTTGAAGTGCAGAAGCTCTCCCTCCTTCAAGGCCTCCTGGGAATGTCTTATTGCTCTGTCCCTCCAGCTCTGCTCCATTAGCTGCACACAAAACAAGAACAACCGAGGCAAGGAAATAACATCAGTAGTTTCCTGTAACCTCAGAGAATGCTCCAGCACACATTAGTACACAGATGTATTAGTAATGGATGCATAATGCATGTGTGGGACTGTACCCTCTTGCTCTCCTCTGTATGCTGTCATTGCTTTGCTTTGCTCAACCCTCTGCTGTCTCTCACTTCTTAGGGCAAAGTGGTCTAACTCTGATGCTCGGCTTCCTTTACTTGCCAGCTGCAGCTTGAGGTCAATGCACTTCTTCTCCATCTGTTTATTTATCTGCTCCTGCATCACCTTTCTCTCAGCATAAACTATAATTTAAAACTTCAGAAGAGTGGAAGGCAAGCTGACACACGTTTTACCTGTACGCTTCTGTCTTGCTGCCGGTGGTTCCATAAAAGGCTTTCCTCTACATCTGTGAACTGACACAGCAGCTTCCACTCAATGCCTTTACTTCCAACCTGAAATGTTCTCTTTGCATCATCAGTGCTCTCTTGTGGTTATGATGGTGAACAACGGGTGTTTCAAGACTCATGTGGTTAGAGGCTAAAGGAGTCTGCAGAGGGTCCAACCTGGGAACACTGTAAATACTAGTCAGAATTTAATACTGTTGTTTTTATGCGCTTTAATTTAATCTAATTAATGATAAATTTACCAGACATTAGGCCAAAATCAGGTATTTATTGCCTGATTGCTCACAGACAGACAGCCAAGGTCTGGGAGGACTGGATATGTAATCGGAGCGACAATAAGGCTGGGATGGTGATGGGAAGGACAGATGGGTGTTAACTTGGAGCAACAGAGATTAGGTGCTGCAATAGAAAATGCAAAACATACTCATTAAAGTCATGATTTTATAGACTTCAATGATTTATTTAGACCTATTATCTTTCAGAGTGGAACAAATTATGCAAAAATAAAAAAATGCTTCAGAGGATTTTTTTAAAAACAAGAACCTAGCACTCTTAGTTTTAAGTTTCAATCCTTCGACACACACTGTCTCTTTCAGAAGAAAGGAAAAAGTGTTTGGGTGGTTGAAAACCAAACAAACGACCAAGATGAACCTACACTAGTATGGGTGCTCTGAACTAAGTGGGCAGGATATTAAATAAATAACTTTTTAGACTTTACTTAAAAGAAACTGCTTCATTCAGAATAATTAATCACACTTTAAACTGGGTTTCTAAAATTTTTGATACTGACTTGAAATTAACATAGCCTATGTATAAAACATGGTTCTGTGTCAAAAAAATTAATAAAATCAACCAATTTCAATAATGCCTGCAATTAGTGGTTACAAGGAAAAAAGTGAAACCCTAATCTTGATAGATGCTTGTTTTCTCCAACAATAAGGCTGTAGTTTCTCTACTTGCAAAGGGACAATTTAGAAGATATGTCAAGATTTGAGAAAAAAAACTATCAAAAAATCAAACTGCTGCATCAAAATGTTTTAAAAACTAAAGGTGCACATTGTCTAATCTTCCATGTTTGTATTTTTTTTAAATGCACAAATAAAAGCACAGACTGCATGCCATTCATGCTAGCGTCAAACATTTCCTTCAGCTCTGTAAATAAAACTAGAAAAGCACTGTGCTTTTCTAGTTTTATTTACAGAGCTCTGCTAAGCAGCAAATTTTACCACATACTGTGACTTAAACCTGTAGCGAAAACTTGCACCATTTGGATCATAACGAATTTTGAATTAACTGCTCTTCTGCTAAAAAAATTATTTAGAACACCTTCATAACTTTTTAAGTTATCCTGTACTCAGACAGACACTCAAACTCTCTAAAAAACATAATCCTCTTTGTGGAGGTAAAAAACAATAAATCGCTTGTTCTATAAGAAGGTTGCAAGAACCCGGTTTGATCCTCACAGCCTGCATTCTGTGTCTCTGAGCAAAACCCTTAACCACACGCTGCTCCCAGAGTGCCGCACAATGGCAGCCACCTACTTCCCAAGGGGATTTGTTAAATGCAGAGATCAATTTCTCCTGTGCGAGTTCAATAAAGTTAAATTATTATGTTAAACTGGCTTTGTTTGCTGAAATTTTCCAAACTCCTAGATCTTAAAAAAAAATAAAAAATAATATATATATATATATATATATATATATATATAATATTAAAGTGGATTTCCTATTCTGAATTACAAATTTGTAAAGGTACTAGTTAAAAATTAAACCAGAGCATTCTCTCATTGTTTTGCTTTGACAATATTCTCCTTGGGAAAGAGGTTACTCACGCCTCTAGTAAAACAAAATGTCAGCGCTGACTGAGTAGCCACGCATCATTGGACTCAAATAGAAAAACTGTTAGCCTGTGGCAACAAATTACCCAGAATATGACAGAGAACATTTCCGGATGAGATCTAGGTTTGGAGCAAAACAAAGAGGAGAATCCTATCAACTGTTAAAAATAAACACTTTTATTGAACAGGATAATAAAACTTGTTAAAAAGGTAAACATTTGAAACATTATAGCATAATTTTTTAACTTATTCAGAATTAAAAGTGCGACACGCTGTTGGTTTGATAATGTCTGTGTTTATACAGCAGGGCAGTTCTTCTTGCTTTAAGATAAAAATCTTCCTCGAAGTCGCTCATTCTTCAGATTCCCAACGTCTCATGGTTCTCCCACAGCCAGGCGTGGTATTTATTTAACTTGTGATCTTCAGGCTTCACCTTTAACAGAAAATGACAGACTGTCACATTTAGTTTAAGCCTGAATCCAAACAAATACTGTGAGGGATGCGAGTTCATTCACCTGTCTCCACTCTTCAACACAGAAGATCCTGTACGAGTCGTTCCCATACTTTCCTATTCCATGCAACTCTATGGGGTAACGCCACTGTTTGTTGAGAAACTCATCTAAGCAGGAGAAAAAACTGTTAGTTTCTCCCAGTCTTGGGCTGGGAAAAAAAATGTTTGCTACTTTCTTTTATTTCTTATTTCTTAGCATGTTTGGTTATCAACATCTGACGAATTAAAATAGAGGCTTCATAGGTTTTGATGCAGGACCAGCAGGTTCTGTAACAGCTTTTTCCCTGCTGCCATAAGACTGTTTAACTGTTAAAAACTCTAATCAAGTCACAAATCGCGACTCTGCATCACGCTGTAAACATTATACTTGTACTACATAGTGAATCTACAAAATAGACCTCAACTTAGTGCTTCTTCTGCATTTTGCACCACATCTCTTCGTTTATTTTTGCACTGCTCTGAACCTTCCACATCAATGTCTTTTACAACATGTCTTTCCTACACTGTTTACATTTTTATCACTGCTGCAATTTATACATGGAAATGTTCATTTCACTGCTAAGCTGCTTATTCAGTCGGAAAGCTATATGTGTCAAAATTTTGTTTTGTATACACTCTGTGTATACGAAATGAGAAAATGGACTTTTGTGGGCTTGCTGGTCTGTTTTGGTTTGCAGGTTTAATTCGACACATGCCTTTGAAAAAGTTGAAAAAAGCTGAAATTAAGACTTTTTTAGTTTTGGTGATGGATTGCCGCCATTCAGGCCATTTTTGAATCACCTTTCTTATCGTTAGGGGAAAAACACTGACTGTACTGATGCAACTGGGGCCTGTACTTCTTGGATGCTGTTGTGGGTATGTTATGATGTCTGTTGCTATTGTTGTGATCTCTTGGATGTGTTTTTGCTGTGCTTTTAGGGTAGTTGTGCTCAGCTGGCCACTCCTGGGAAGATTCTCTTTTTTTTTTTCACCATTTGTGGATGATGATTGTCAATCAGACCATGATAAATACCTTTCTAACACTTTGCAGGCTGAAAATTCTCTTTTTTTTTACACATATTCGTGTACTTTTACGAATATTTTTATCCCTTAAATATAAAAACCTTATTTTAAAAACATCCTTTTTTGTGTGTATGATGTTGTGACAAATATGCAAAAGGATTTGTAAGAAGGTGAACATTCTTTTTACATTACTGTAGTTACTGAAGACATACATCCTCACCTGAAAAGCGAATGATTGTTTTGGCTCGGAGCTCATACAGTCCAAGTGGCTTCATGAGTTCAGACATGGGCTTCCAGTCAGCCTCCTGGGTCACCTCTGCAGACGGGTAACGTTCAAAGAACTGCCAAAGCACTGGAATAGCCATCTTGCCTGTAGTGAAGAACTAGTGAGACACCTCTTTTCACTTAACTTTAAAACAAAATGTAAGTGATTGCGGGATTTTACCACTTGTCTTATTTAGAAAAATAGTGGCCACCAGAAGCTTCCAGGGGTCGTGGAAAAGGGTTTCCTGTATGAGGTTGAATGGAGATCGGGGAGGCGTCCATTTTCTGAGAACTTTCCTCCTCGGTGGGCTGAGTCCTGAGTACAAAGGTTGATAAACTTGCTTAAAAAACACACAACAGTACCTCAGATACTGCAATAAACACGGCCTGCTAATGATTATGCACAAATTCACTCAAACATTACCATCTTTAATTGGTTTCCCGCTGAAATATGGGCTTGTCTTCCGCTTACTCACCAATTTCTTGGATTCTATAAACACACATAGAAATGTTAAAAACTGCACCCAACATAAGCCCTGCCAGATTAGTATTATAAAATGTAACATAGATGTATATATTTGTAAATGTTATTTAATTATAAAGGATACTTACAGACATGGTCTTTGGGCTCTTAGTTTTTATAACCTTTAAGATGTTATAAAATGGTAATAAGATTCTGATTTGAATTTAAAGGAGGTGAAAATTCAAATTAGTCAGATAAAATCAAGTTAAAGAGAGCTAATTAAGGGGTTTTAATGGTTTTATTTGGATGCTGCTCTGCCTCATTTAAAGCAATAGTTGCTTTAAGAGCTCTGATGTTTTTGCAAAAGTATTCATATAACTTGACGCTTTTTACAACATTCTTATATATTTTTGGGGTTGTGGTTTAAACTTGATCTTGGATTCAAAACGTTTTCCCATATCAGATCATATCAGAGGCGTGGGAATCTAAACTTTCAGCTCAAACAAGGAGAAGACTGATCAGAGATGCAGCCAAGAGGCCCATAATCACTCTGGATGAACTGCAGAGATCCACAACTGAGGTGGGAGACGCTGTCCATAGCACAACAATCAATCGTATGCCGCACAAATCTTGCTGTTATGGAAGAAAGTAATTTCTTAAAGATATAAAAAAAAAAGCATTCCTCAACAAAAAGGGAAAAAAGGTGCTCTGGTCAGATGAAACCAAAATCAAACTTTTTGGCAACAGTGCAAATCGTTTGGCATAAAAGCAACAACTCATCACCCTGAATACATCATCCCCAATGTCAAACATGGTGATGGCAGCTTCCTGGTTTGGGCCTGCTTTTCTTCAGCAGGGAAAGGGAAGATGGTTAAATTGATGGGAAGATGGATGGAGCCAAATGCAGGAGCATTCTGGAAGAAACTTGTTGAAGTCGGCAAAATACCTCAACACTCCTGTATAGTAGAGTCTGCAGGATTTTCATTCCAACAACCAGGTAAACGGCACCAGTGTGTGAGCTTGAGTTTATCTATTCTTAAATCTAAAGGCCCTTCTCCTACTTCTACCTGCATTGCTATAGTTGGTATTGATCTTATCGCACTGGTACAAATCCTTAGGGCTTCATTGAAAACCCTTTCGATTTTCTTTAAATGTCTTTTAGCTGCTGCTCCATATACATAAAATCTGTAATCTATTCTTAATCTCATTAGGGCCCTAAAAATATACATCAGGGATTGTTTATTGGCTCCCCAATCTTTTCCCAATGCTACTTTTAGATTTAGAATTTTCTTACATTTTATGTCTACTTTGTCAATATGTGTTTTCCTTGTTCCTTTTTATTCTAGCCATATACCCAAATAGTTAGACTCACTGTCTCCATGCAATGACCATTTCTAAACAGATTATTCTGATTATTGCAGTTCAACAAAAGCCTGTTAATCTGCAATCAATGGAAGGCAGCTGTGCTGAAGCAGGGAAACCTCTAGAAGCTGCAGAACAGTGGCCGACTTTGGACATGCCTGAGCTAAGCTCTCCCTGTTGAAGAAAGCTATTCCTACAACAGGATACTCCCACCACCATGTTTCACTATGTGGATGGTGTGGCAACACAGTGTAAACTAAAGAGTTCAGTTCTAGTCTAGTCTGAATTTGGCATCTTCTTTCTTTTGACAGTAGTGCTCTTCTTGTCAATCTTTTATAAAGGTCAGACTTGTGCCTCACTGGTTGTCCTGTCAATAGATTCTCCTGCACAAGGTGTGGATTTCTTCCAGAGTCAATTGTTAATAAGAAAAGCATCTCCAATGCTTTATCCCTGACCTGTCTGTTGTGTTTCTTGATCTACATGACGCTGTTTTTTAAAATGATCTAACAAACTTTTCCTTTGCACTATAAATCGTTGACTCTACACATGTAACTTACATTTTAATCTCCTTAAGGCTACATAAAGTCGTTATTTAACTGGAGGATGCTCCCCACATCCATTTCAGGCAGCAGAATTCCTGAATTCTCATTTAGATATAATACATCCTTAGGTGCAGGATCATTGAATGTGAAATGCGGACACCATAATCATCTCTGGTTATTTTTAGGGCTGAAACAATCGGATTAAT